GCCCATCCAGCACACAGCATTCCAACATTTCTACGTCTACACAATTAAATAACCCCAAAGTCATGCCATGAAATTTACTGAAGGCACATTTATCGACTCGCTTGATAAATTGAAAGCCTTCTGAACTCTGATGACTCATGAGATTTAAAGTTTAGAAAAATTTAATCTTCACCCACAAGACACTGTTTCACAATCTCTTTTTGCCCCATGACCTATTCTTTTAACCCTAACCCATTTTTTAAGAGCTCAAAAAGCAGCAAAATCAACAGTGTGTTTCATTCATTCAGTGGTTTGTTTTATGAATGAACACTGTGGCCTCTACACGGAGCTAATGAGGCTTTTTGTCTTGTTGAATTATAGATTGAATAACTTCTGTCACGCTGTTGTTTGCGACAGTTTCTGTTCCCGTTACAGAGCAGAGATGAAGATGTTAAACCGTGTTTTCTCTGTATCTCTGGGAAATTAACCGAGAGACTTTTAGCTTCTGTCATCAAACTAGGATCAGTTCAGTCTGCTCTCCAGGCTGCTGTGATTGTAGTTACAGTGAGCTCGTGGACTGAGCTGCCGTCTGTGAAGACGCCTTCCCCTTCCACTCCACTCCCACTGTGATTCAGTCTCCTCCTCAGTGTTGGTGTGTTGGCTTTATCCATGCTGCTAATGCTTCACCAGCAGCCAAGTGGACAGTCTCAACTTCCCCCCACCAGACGCTGACAGTCACTGAGGGATGTAACACTTGTTCCTGCTTGTGATGAGACTGTGCAGCCAGTGGCTTTTTTCTTCTCCTCCTGTACTTGTGGAGAATCTTTACTTTCTTATACAAATAACACAATTTCAGTGATTGTATTTCCAGAATAAAAAGCATTATTCATCGAGGATTAGTGAGGAGCAAAAATCTCGTCAAAATAAGAGTTTCATCTAAATTGTACCAATCCTCTCATCATGCAAACACTTACGCAGATGCAAAGTAATAATTTGATATCATTTTTTTTTTTTTGTGAATTGTCATTTTATAAAGTAGGAGGTCTCCAACAGGTGGCTTGTGAGCTACAAGTAGCTCATCCTCTGTTTTAGAGTAGCTCAGAGAAGATAGTCTGTACAAACTTTAACCAACACAACTAAATCAAGTGTACCATATTAGCTATTTTAAGTTCCTGTTGTTTTATGTACCATTGGATATACCGACAACTATCACTGGATCACTGTGAGAGGAGCTTCTTTTATTCTCTGATTTCTAAGCAGATTTATGGACGTTAACTTACAGTGGTGTCACCATGTCTGTGTGTTCAGGTTCGACTGAATCACGACTCCGATTTTTGCGTGAGTTGAGTTTCAGATGTTTGGGATATTGATATTAGAGGACTTGTTAAATGATCTCATTCATCTGATTTGTTTTTTGAGATCAGTTTGAGTGCTTTCATACGATATGTAAAGTAAAAAAGTAGTAAAAAAAGGGTGGAGACCCCTGTTTTAAAGGCTAAATACAGTCCTTATTTTAAATTACACCTATGAACAAGATCAAATACACTTTTTTTTAGTAGTAGTTTTATGTTATGATCAGTTATGACCAGAGCTCGTGACCCACATTCATGTATCTCACTGGGCTTGGATTTTTTTTGGCTCCACGGTTGTCCCCCCCCCCCCCCGGTCAGACAGATAAATTCGGTCAATGAGAGATTTTGAGATGTACTGTGGGTGAGGATGAGTGCTGGAGGATTAACACTGATTTTTTTTTTTTTTTTCTTCACCCCTTACTTCCTCTTCTAAACCTAATCCTCCCCTTTAACCAGGTTGACCCATGACATCAGCCTGGATGAGTTTGAAGATGACGACCTGTCGGAGATTACGGAGATCACGGACGAGTGCGGGATGAGTCTCAACTGTAACGGGCCGGATATTAAGGTAAGCTGCCTCCGCAGAGAGCTGCGTCTCACCAGAGCGCGTGAAATAAGTTTATGTTCTTAAAAGCAAGTCTTCCTCTTTTCAAGCACTTTCATTTAACTCTTGACCTGATGTGAATCTGTGAAGGTTCATTCAATCAACAGTTGTTCTGCTGTGGATTTGGTGATTCACCTCCCACTGCTTCTTTCCCAGCTGCGAGAGAACAAAGAAAAATCATTTTACATTGGCAGCTTTTTTTTTAAATTACCTGGGAGGCAAACTAGAGGAGAGTTCAGTAAGAGGTTGATTTCACACAGATACAATCTCTGCGTGCTCTACTTTCACACTGAGAGTTTATAATCAGTGGTACTGGAGTGATCTTGGCTATTGCTCATATTACTTCACACCTTCTTGGTACTAAAATCACCAGTAATGTCAGACATGGTCACATCCTTTAGATGGCAGTGCGTAGTTACATGCTGGATAGGTTTAGAGCAGAAACCCCCAGAGTCTCAGAGTCTCATGGGTTTGTCTTCAGGTTACGTCACACAGAGAGAGGTGTCATCTCATTGGTGGCGCTTAGAAAGGTCGATAACAAACAAGGTCAAAGGTGATACTGACCGAATGCAGATGACAGCGCTCCCAAGAGTCGCAGAACAACCCGGGTTATGGTGCTGTAAGGTTTAGCGTCTTTGCTCTGTCCATTGGAGGAGTGTGTGTGTGCGTGTGTGTGTGCGTGTGTGTGTGTGTGTGTGTGTGTGTGTGTGTGTTTGTGTGTGTGTGTGAATTTTCACTCACATTTTGTGTCCACACAAACACAATAGTTTGCCCCCCCCCACCCCCAAAAAATAGCGTAAGTAGATAAAGTTATTAGATAAAGTTATTTTTGCTAGAGATTTTTAAAAAATGAATAAATGAATAAAAGCAACAAAGCATACACATAATATCCATTCTTTATGCAGAACCCGCCGCCATCATTCAGCGTCACTGCGTCCACACCCGAGCTCAGGCGAGGGGGTCGGACTCTCCTCTCAGTGGCATTTTGTCCTGAACAGCTGCTGCATTCAGCTTCCTGCCAGCAGAGGAAAGAGGCCAGAGGCAGAGAAGCCAGACAGACGCTCTGTAAAAGGACTTGAGTCTGATTGCATGTGATTGCCCCGCTTCATCCCGGGTATCTAAATAATCCACTCTGAGCTGTTTACCGTTTGTTCAAGGCCTCAGAAACTTTGATAAAGTGGAGAGTTTTTTTTTTGAAGTTTTCCTGAGCATCATGTTCCCGCCAGCATCCTGGTTTTCTCAAGTTTTATTGGCATAGAAATTAGTAGGACATTATCAGAACTGGAGCGAGCGTGAAATGCAATGAGAGAGAGAGAGAGAGAGAGAGAGAGAGAGATGTGATGATTAGGTACAAAGGGAGAAAAATAAGCAGAGGTAAATTTATCATTCTGTCAGATCTCTCCAGCAGCGTTACCATCATCACCTCCTCCTCCATCCAGCTTCGCTACCGTAACCAAGGCAACAGGAGGGTCGAGGGGCTTTTTTTTCCAGTTTCAATTTTGGGGGAAGATGAGAGATTTTTTTTTTTCTGATGTAACTTTTTGTATTTGATTGTTTCGGTGACAGTGACCTGACATGAGAAAATCACTGCGATATTAAGGAGTGGTGGGAATATTTTTAGGTTGAAAAGCCCTCTCTCTCTCTCTCTCTCTCTCTCTCTCTCTCTCTCTCTCTCTCTGCTTTTTCTTCTTCCAGGGAGCTAATTATGGCCCAGATTATTGGATGTGTGTGTGTGTGTGTGTGTGTGTGTGGGGATGCAGATGCTGATGACTCATCCTCTTGTAGGGGCCTCAGAGAGATCAGAATCCAAAATGGCTCTTGGACGGGCAAACAAATCAGACACATCAGATAAAGAAGACCGAGCCAAAAACGAGAGAGAGAGAGAGAGAGAGAGAGAGAGAGAGAGAGAGAGAGAGAGAGAGAGAGAGAGGGAGAGCGAAAAAGAGACAGAGAGAGAGAGAGAGAGAGAGAGAGAGAGAGATGGCTACCATGAACAAGACTTGGACCAAAGTATCATAAAAAGAAATTTGTGCAGTAACAGAAAACAGGATTCACAAAAGTAGGTGACTGTTAAATGAGCTGCATTGTCCCTCATGCCAGACAGAAACGCAGTATCACCAGTGAAAGACGAGCGTGTGTGTGTGTGTGTTGGTTAGTAATGTAATGAAGAAGCATGACACCAGGATCTCAGCAGAAGCAAAAGGAATTTAAATTCTTTTTTTTTCAGTTCCAATTAATATTCAGCCAAAAGCTCCGTGATAAAAGACTTTCAGAAGCTTAGATCTGATCACGAGTGAAAACTTTAACATTCAGTCTCACACTGTCTATTAGATTTGGACTTTTAATGACTTGTATGATGAATTTTTCATTACTGTGATCATGGTTTTAAGTGATTCTGATAAAAACAGAAGACCAGAGGTGATAGGACCGATCATATCTCTTCCTTTAAACATTATATATTCACCCAGGGCTGAGCAGTTCACCGACATCAGAACAGACTTTTACGACCTTAATCTTACTTTTATAAAGCATCACTTTTTCTGCGTTTACGTCTGGCGTCCACACTCACACTCTCACGAGCAGGAACAGAAACTTTTGGAAACAATGACACAGACTCCCGCCTCGCCTCCTGATTGCGTCTTATCAGTCACGACTATTAGACGGTGGTTAATACAAAATGGACAGCGACCAAACGTAACACCAGGAATTTGTTTAATCACTTAGACACAATGACAGAGAGACCAATAATCTCCAAATTTAATTATGTAATTTGAAAAGAATCGAGATATTGATTTGAAGTCCTGTTTTCACATATAAAATCTAACTGAACATTAGAAATTGATCCGGTGATCAGGTGGGTTCTAGGCTCTGATTTGGCGACACAGCACATCCACTCGTGAAGAGAGGATAAAGACAGAAGAGAAGACGGACTCCTGTCTGTGATGAGGTAGAGTCAGCAGGTGGATGATGGAAACTGGGAACATCTTCACGGTGGTGATAAGAGAGGTGCCGGGTTGCAAAGCAGTCTGGAGGATAAAATGATGCAGTGATTTTTATCCATTAACCCACTGGCTTTAGGCGTGTGGTTAGAAAGATGACGATGGTCAGATAAAGGACTTGTGATTTCCTGACAGCCTGGGAAAGCAGAAGTTATTATTTATTATTAGTTATACTATTATTTTTCAATTAGAAATACAGTTCTAGATTTTATTTCTTACCTTCTTTTTTATAGTTATTTCTTATTGTTATAGTGTCATTAGGGATAGTGAGTAGTTTGATTGTCTTGTTTTTGTCTGGGGAACCTGTTTCCTGTGATTGCCTGAATGCTGGAGCTACAAAAACAACACAGATGAGCTCTTTTTGATGTGTAATTACAGGAAAAATTCCCATATTCATTTGTGCTACTCAGTAACAACATACACCATCTATCCGTGGAGAGTCTAAAAATCTTCTTACCTGTGGTGTTGCGCTTAATCTGCATGCATGCTCTGTTCTCTGAAGCTGCTCAATATAGAGCAGAAAAGCCCTCACAGAGACCGGAGGACTGTTTGTTTCATGAGCGTCTAATCCGCTCCAGATGGAGGAGCTTGTAATAAAACACAAAGTCAAAAGCCACAAGAAATTACATCACAGTGTTTAATTTTTAATTGCCGCTATTTTCATTCATTCACATTAAATTGAAAGGAGCAAATATGCTCCGATAAACCCAATGATAAACCCACCGCTGGCTCTCGGTTCAGCACCAAATGGCAGATAAACAGTTAGCAACTGGCTACTGAAGAAAGTGGAGCATGTACAGCTGAGGAGCTGGATGTTTTTCTCAGAACACACAGCTAAAAGGACTTGTATTCATCAGGTGGATACAAACACAACTCCAGTGGGATGCTAACATGTTAGCTCTAACAACATGTTAGCTCTGTGTTTCTGTGAGTTTCTTTGAGTTTATTTTTCCTTTGTCTTGCAAATTCAAGATGTTCATAAAAAACATAGACACTGAGGAGCAGTGAATGGATCAGCCGGGTCGGACAAACGTTCTTGCTTCCTCCCTGTCATATATCAGCTGTCATCACAGACCTCAGAGACACAGCTTCATCCCTCTGCTTTCTATTTAAAAGTGCCCAGTGTTCGACGGAGGTCCGGCCTGTTTAAAAATGCATGAGGAGGTGTTGCAGCTGTGGGACGTCAGGAGAGAAAGGGGTTATGAACTGTGAGCGCTTTATGCAGAGCCCTCACTGTCTGTACACACAGAGTGGTGACCTCATCAGTGAGCTCATTGTCCGCTTCAGGATGCATCCTCTCTCACTCAATAATGGATGGTCCACATGAAGGAGCATCTCACACCCTAGACAGGCTGTGTCTGACCCGCGGGGGGGAGCGGCGGCCATGTCCCCTGCCTGTAAAGGTGGGGTCAGAGAGCATGTCAGAACTGTTACACATACATTTGGAAATGCCAATACAGGTCAAACTGGGCTCCAGTCACATTAACATGTTCAGATTGATTTAAATACTGTTCTCTCTAATCTTATATCTTAGATATAGTATATAAACACTACAACAATATAATGAGTATTTAAATTGTTCTCACCTCTGACCCCCTTAAAAAAAAAAAAAAAAAAAAAAAAAAGTTTCCAAGAAAATGTTTTAAGAAGTTTACCCCAAATTTCAACCACAGGAAGCTGCTTTCAGGTTTAGTTCCTGCCCCACATTCTGCAGGACAAGCAATGAGGAGATCAGGCTCACAAACCAAAACCACATTATTTATAAATGGACAACACATCTGTCTCCACAGGAGTGCAGACGGACTGAACTTTTATAGCTCCTGCCCCCCCGAAAAATAAAATCCCTGCTCTCAAGGGAGCACTACACAAACACCCAGGAACTGCCAAGTTGCAGAACTTAATATTGCTGACTAAATCTCCTTTTTAACTTAATCTTAACCTGCTTCTAAATTAAGTTTGCAGCCC